TCTGTTTGATTTTGATTCCCCTGATGCGATGTGTGTGTATGTATGTGTGTGAGTTGCATTATTTCGCTTTCTGCATGTCATTTCATTCAGCGAGAAATGTAAACACACTTAACTTCACAATTCGATTACGGCAACATATATTGATTCGCTCTTTTTTACCGTTCGCTTTTCCTCTCTCGCTATTTCTCTCCCTTTGCCAGTCTTTATCTCCCTCTCTCTTTCACTCATTTCCTCTTTGTTCTCCGCGTACATCAACTTTCTATTTCGAATGTGAGCTCGTCTTAAACAAGAAACATTCCCGTGTCTATAATTGTGTTATTATTTTCTCTGCCATTGTTTTTATTCCGATTTCGTCTGTTTCCCTTTTGCCTTCATCCATAATTTTTGCTAGAGTTTTTGTGAAGACTTCGTCTCTCTTCAAGACGAGCACACAATTTTTTCGGTGTCTGTGATTTTTCCTACTCCTCATTCTTCAACCACTCCACTTTTCCCGACACAAGAACACATCGTCGAATGTAACAATGCCACTTCTATTTGGTTGCGAACAAAACAAACGAACCGAAAACTGTTTCAAAGTGAATCGTGCAAGTGTTTCGAACGTGGTGTTCTTTTTTTCTGCGAGCAGAACGAGAAAAAATTCGTCCGTTTTTTTTCTTGTGTCTATTTTCTCCATTTATGTTTGTTATTGTTCGGCTTGTTGTTTATTTTGTGCTGAAGATTTCGGTGAATTGCGGAGTGTTTTACATTCATTATTTTGGCCTTAAGCAGGTGAAATTCGCTTCGTATGCTACATACGTGTGTCTCGATGACGGTGATGCCATCTTAGCGAAAGGTAAACCTCCCCCCCCCCATTTGTGTGTTGCATGTCTGCAAAGATTCCTTTTAATGGCAAATAAACGTGTGTGTGTTTTCTTTTGTATGCCAATGGTTAATCGTTCCCTTCGTTTGTTCAACAGAAATGAATCTGGGCCCATGGCAAGAGGTATACCTATTCGTACGCACTCGGTCCTTCTTGATATTGCGAAATTGTCATGTGCATTTTACCCACAACTGAATCGATGTGGTTGCGATGGTAAATATGCGTTCGGTCTTCGTTTGGGTGGTTGCGTGTTGGCGCATTTGAAGCCCATTCATCGTTTGTTGTCTCAGACTGTTGCATCGTATCTGTGTGAGAAAACCGACGGTGTGTAGACGACATAGGGAGAAATATTCCAACGAATCATTTCTTAAACCAATCATTTAATTGGATACCGTCTCGCAACCGACCGCTCAAAATAAATCTTTCCTTTGGAAAATCAAATAAATGAATGAACACAACAGCATTAGCTTTTCATAAACGAAACGCACAACTTTTTCCCTTCGAATTCTTATTATTTAATAATTTCGATGAAAGCCAAAATGGTTTGTAATATGGACTACAGCCCTAATTAGATTGAATAATTCAATGCGATTTGGAAAATTTGTGAAAATTGACATTTAAACTTTTCAATTTTCATGTTTCGTGTCTCATTTAATAGCCATGTTGAAATTTTTCGTTCATTTAAAAAAAAAAGAACGGTTCAATGACCATTAGTTTTACTGGAAACATTGTATGTAGTCCATCATTAGTCTGGGCATTTCGATTAAGTCAAGTATTTTACGTGTAGCATGTGGTTCATGAAAATTGGATTCGTGTTGGATTGTCATCAAGAAATTGTGAGTGTCTTTTTTTCGATGTGTATGTGTTCGACAGACAAGTGTTTCAGACGACAATCAACACAAGTTAATTATTGAGAGATTTGCGTTTTTTCCCTCTCTCCGAGCTCTTTTATTTGTTCTAATGAAAATTGACAGTTAAGCAAATCAGGAAAATTGATGAAAAAGAATGCAACGTAGTTTACATCAAGAATTGGCAAACAACCGTTCGAACAACTCGATGTTGAAACAGTTCTATAAAAGTAATTAAAGATTAATTAAAAAATAGTTTCGAATGAAAGCGGAAGAGAGAGAGGGAAAGAGAGAGAGAGAGAGAGAGAGAGAGAGCGATTGAGATAAAGTAAAAGCAAATTCGAATCGAACTTGTTGAACAAGTGTCGGTGATTTTATTTACGATGTCGAATAAAAGATAATGAAGAAATCAATCTGACAACATCAATCGAGTGGGGATTTTTTTTTCGTTCTTTCTCCTGTTCACAGGTGCTTGTAGAAAATAATTAAAATTTTTCAATCGTTCGATGCAAATGAGTTTGTAGTGATAGAAAATGGTGATTCGTCGTCGTTGTCGTCGTCCTCGTCGCCGTCGTTACATTGATAGATTTGCCGATTCTATTATTTATTTTCTCAATCGAGAGAGGCTGTGGTCTGAGGCGGAAATGCACAATCGACACAGTAAATACAACTATGTACTGTGTTGGGCTGTTGGCAATGTTGTGGTTTGCGGGAAATGAGTTTTGCTTTCGCAAAATACGGTAAAATCGAAGGGAAAAAACAACATTCATTTCGTGCGATGAAGGAGTCGGGAGTCGAACATAATTAAGATTTTCTCGGTACAAATAAATGATCGCGACGTGATGCCATAAAAACGGTTGCTGATATTATTAAGAAAACGATACCATCGTCGAATGGACCGAATGTGTTTGTGTTGTGTCATTTTGCATGGCAGGAAAAAATTGTATTCAGTTTGCACTGCAGAAAAGCGAGCGAGAGAAGCAAAACAGAGGCCGTAACAATAACAGCAATCATAAAGTGTCTTCCAATCTAATCGGCTTGAGAAATTGGCAGAAACATGCTTGTATTGCCATCAGATTGTATCTAAAGTGTAACAAATAGACACGGAATGCTTCAGTAAACGGCAATAAAACTAATTCCCACAACTGTATATGGTCGATGTTGGTACGCTTCAATCCACAAACACATACACATTGCATCTGTAATGCCAGTCATTTGCACCTTCGGTTTTCACCGACGTCAGTTGCAACATCTTTTCATTTATTGCCCAATGTATCACCAGAATGTTAATTTTGCACCAAGGACGACTTTTCCGATTGCAAATGCTATCGTTGAATACGTGTTAAATACCCAACAATGCCATCGTCGACAAATTCCAGCGCTTCGTCACAATATTGTGAGACGACACACCAATGTCGGAAGGAAATGGAAAATTGCTATCTCTATTTTGGTTCGGTTTGCAAGTTTCAGCAACTTACTTTTACACTGGTTTTGGGTGTATCATGCATGCAACGCCAGTCGAAACCATAACCAAAGATATTGTCACATTTTAGTGACAGTTCAAATGCTATAATTTCACATAAAGTGTAAAAGGTGCAATAACATGGAATATTCGGTCGACATTCACTCGCTTTATTACTCGGTGATAACGAAACAAATCGAAGAAATATGATTGAAACATCCAAAACAAACTTCGTTCCGACTTTGAGGAGTGAGTTTGGTTTTGTTCTTTTGTCAATCAACAATGTATTTTAAATTCTATCAAATTCAAAATGTTTCACTTCACTCTATGACATTTCCATCATCATAAATACAAATAATAATGGTCAATCCAAAAAATATCCACATGAAATCGACTGAGCAATGAACGTAACATTCAACATATCATTGGAACAATTTCTTGACATCTCAAGTTTAGTTCATCAACTGACCAAAATGCAAAAATTGATTTCGACATTCATTTTCTTTGATTTCGATTATAGTACGATTTATATCCTATATTTCTATTGCAACAAAATCTAATATGCTTGCAATAAAGATATATTCATGTGAAACATAGAAAATATGATGATATTTTTAGCTATAGTTCAAATTTGCATTCTAATTTTGAATGAACTGATTGAAAAATTGTTCAGATATTGATGCGAAAAAGAAAACGTTATGTTCGGAGCTCGGAATTATATTATAAATAAAACACAGAGAGTATGGTTATGGTGTTACTTCGTTGGACGCTTGTTGCACACGATTGCGATCGTTTACGAACTTTTTAATATGAAATATATGTGAACTAATGTTCATTGAATGAATTCTTTTCATTTTGAAAATAAAATATATCCTAATACTAGTAAACTTGTATTAGAATAAGAAGTAAACTAACGTTTTTTTTTCATTCATTTATTAACTAATACAGTAGCTCGAGTCTACCAATGAGCTGATTCTCATTCTTACGTTTTTTTTTCTTCATTTTTTGACGATTTCTGAAGCAACAATGACTTATTCAATAAAATCGCTTCCTTTTTGGGCAGTTTTGAGAGATGTTCTATCAAACACGCATGCATAAGCGATTTTTTCTCAGAGCGGCAATATAGAATATATTATATTTCACTTTTCAGCATTCTTCTAAGAGGCTGATGTTATCGTCATATGTTTTTCTTATAATTTTCTTGATATAACTTACTATGAGCCCTACATTATTTTTTTGTACTAATTTGATATATTTCATTTTACATGCATAAAATATGGTAGCACACTGCATTGCTCGTGAAATGTACGTCAACAGAGAACGGCTGATTCGTCCAGAATGCCTCATTGTTTGCGGACTGGCAAAGCTAGTCATACTTTTGATATAAAACGAATTGCGTAGAATGAAATCAATGTTGTCGGGTACGCATATTTTCATTATCACATAATGCCAATATCGCGATAATATCGCTAGCGCGTATGCGTGTGACTTAAAATATTCACCCGAAAAATGTGCTTTTTATTTTGGAGGTATGTTATATTCGGTCTTACATTTTGTTTTGATGAATAATAATTAGTCTGGAAATTGATTGAGAACACAATATCAGCCAAAATCTATCGATTCCGGCAAAAGTATTCCGTAAAATCCAAACGTCATTTATTCAAAATTCACATTTTTTTCAGATACATCTGTTGTCTTTTGGAACTTTCGTCTATTTAACAGTTTGATTATCAAAAAATAATAGTTGTGCATACTGTGAAAGAAGTTTGCTGTATCAAAAGAAATGAAAATAGCCGAACTAAACGGAAAAAGTTTAAAAATCGTTGAATAGCTTTCGAAGTCATTCAGTTCATTGTGGTCGGCCGATCTGAATGGTTGTGCTGAAAGTGTCTTCCACATGACTTAAATCATCAATATTCTATCGAGTGGTTTTTGAATAATTGTCTGAGAGTTTCACATTCTGTACACTCTCAAAGTTATATAACCGTCGGTCAATCTTTCTGTGTCATCTCGTTGTTTTGACAAACAAGAGATCCAATTATACACTCATCAATGTTCAACAAGATATATTGTCGCCGCGTGAATGAAAACAGATTTTTGTGTATGGTGCAAACAATTGTTGAATCAATGAGAAAACATTTTTGAGGTGTCTACATCTTGAATATTCAATAAGTCATTAATGAAAAAATCATTCGTGCTGAAGCTGTCAACCTCGAAGCATCGCATCAATCATGAACAGAGGAGTTCAGAATGTCACAAAGTAAGTATAACACATAATCGATATATAAACGAATTTATTTTTCGGTATTTTCATAATATATGAGACAGGCCAACTACGGTCTAGTTTCTAATTTTCATCTTGTTCAGTTACTTAATATCTCAATTTTTGATCAAAAAATGTATCATAATTCAAATTCTTAAATTGGAATAGACGATAAAACGCCACATAAGACTCCCATTCTTTAAAACATGAAGAAATGCTTGTGTTTTCGTTAATGAGCACGTCAGCAGAAATGATGAATATTGTTTGTCGTCGAAAACCATTTCAACATGTTCCTTTTACTTTCAACATCGATCGTTACTTTTAGTACAAACTTCAATCAATTTGAGAATCGGTAAAAATTGAAATCGCTCCATTTTTCTCATAATCTATTAATATAGACATCTGTGTTCGCGTGACTTGTATTGGTTAGAGGCTTCAAAGATATTGTTCACTACTTCAAGCATAACTTTTGTATCGTATTTTTAAAAAATCAACATTTTTATCTCATTTCAACTGATTTCTCAAGTATGTGACGGTCACATTGTGACCGTTTTTCACCCTGAGATCCGAGCACTTTATAAAATTATGACTTATTTAACTTTCAATCAGTTATTAAATTTAATTGATTAAGTCGGGAATTTCCGAATTTTTTTGTGTAATTTATGCAAAAATTATATCTATTACATGCAATCATTATTATTATTTTTTCCCTCACAGTATCCAGCAGTGGTGGTTCCAGCGTTCTATTTTAGAGATATTATTAATCCTAATGAGTACACTATCACTAATTGGAATAATCGTATCACTTTCTATCGTTGTTGCTGAGAAACATGAATATGAATGTAGGTATTTTACATACGTGACACAAATTCATACACAATTTTCCACTGTTTTAGCTTTTTTGTGTGTATTACAGCCCAGATAAATAAAGGTGCTGATGTGTGTCTAACACCTGAATGCATTCATGCTGCATCACTCATGCTCGATCAGATGGATGAAACAGTTGAGCCTTGTGATGAATTTTACAATTTTGCATGCGGCAATTTTTTGAAAGAAACCATGATACCCGATGAAAAGATATTGATCAATACATTTTCGAAAATTGACGACAAACTTCAGGAAAGTTTACATGCATTGATTAGCGACAAAGTTAATCCAAACGATTCGGCACCATTTAACATGGTTAAAAACTTGTACAAAGCATGCATGAATAGAACGTTGATTGAACATCGCGGATTAAAACCATTGACTGCTATCACGGATCAGCTCGGCGGATGGCCCGTTGTCAAAGATGAATGGGATACGAAGTCTGAATGGAGCTGGACTTGGGCTGTTAAGGAGTTTCGTAAAGTTGGATACAGTACGGATCATATATTCAGTTTTTCCATTGACGTTGATTTGAAAAATTCAGCAACTCAAATTATTTATGTAAGTTCTGAGCTTCTTGATAAGAACTGCCAATTGTTCCTCATTCCGCTTATATAATTTAGTTGATCCATGGAATATGGTTGGGAACAAAAGAAACAGTGGTTTAAAATGACTTATTTTTACCGTTGCAATGTAAAAAAAGAAGATCGGTATAGTTGAATACATGTCAATGAAGAATGAAAATTATTTGAGGGTCAAATGAGTGAAGTTGATAATTCGATAAACATCTTTAAATGCTCGCTTATTATTATATTTCAGATAGATCAGGCTGCGCTCGGTTTGGATCAGGAATATTTGATCAAAGGATTGGACGATGACATCGTTAAGGCATACTATGAATACATGGTTGATATTGCCGTTATATATGGTGCCGATCGCAGCCGTGCCAACAGAGAGCTGAAGGAATCGCTTGAGTTTGAAATGAAATTGGCCAATGTAAATTATCGCACACTTTCATTGATGCACACCAAAGACAATAAGAAAACATGCTTTACATTGACTAATTTATACCTAAAACTCTTCATCGATGATATAGATCTCTCTGCCGAGTGAGGCACGAAGAAATTTCACAGCACTCTACAATCCATATACATTGAAACAAGTGCAGCAGAAGTATCCGTTCATTCAATGGGTTAAATACATAAATGCCTTATTACCGTCGCCACTGTCAGTTGACGAGAATGAGGTTATTGTGATAAATGTGCCGTCTTATTTCAATAGTTTGGGACAGTTGTTGCAAGACACACCGAAACGTATCATTGCGAACTATATGATGTGGCGCGTTACAAAATTCTCATCACTGTTCCTGACTAATGAAATACGCAAACGACAATTGGTGTATAACACAGCCATCAGCGGTGCGCAGGAACAAGATGCAAGGTGGAAAGAATGCACTGACATTACGAGTGGAAACATGGAGATCACTAGTGGAGGGTAATCCATATATGTATAAAATTCAAGATGCGTCCGTCCATTTGATCCAATTTAGTCAACATTTTTATCATGTTGCATTTTGTTTGCTTTCGTTTTTGTTCCTAATTGTAGTTTATCAATAGCCGTTGGTGCGCTTTATGTGCGAAAATACTTTCGACATGATTCGAAGGCTGCTGCACTTGAAATAGTGCATGAAATCCGCAAAGAATTTGAACTCTTATTGAGAAAAGTTAATTGGATGGACGATGAAACACGTAAATCCGCACTCAACAAATTGAAAGTCATGTCTACTCACATCGGCTACCCAGATGAGATTATGGATAATGCTAAAATTGAAAAATACTACGAAAACTTGAAAATCAATGAAAATAACTATCTTCAATCCGTTTTGAATATGACCATATTCGACACAGATTTTGAATTTGGAAAACTACGTAAACCAGTTAACAAAACTGATTGGGTCAATTTTGCGCACACAGCCGTTGTCAATGCTTTTTATTCGGTACCAGAAAATAGCATAGGTAACAAACATTTTGTGAAGAAAATCCTTTGCATCTATCATCATATCAATAGATTTCAATGCTAGATTCTATTTACAGAATTCCCAGCAGGTATTCTACAAGAGCAATTCTTTTCAGCCGATAGTAAGTTCTATTCAATTTTTACTGATTTTTTGCAATTGAACAACAATCTTTTTTAAAATGATAGGACCTCGTTACCTAAACTTTGGAGCAATCGGCTCTGTTATTGGTCATGAAATTACCCACGGATTCGATGATGAGGGCTGTCAATTCGATCTCAATGGCAATCTCATTGATTGGTGGAACGAAAAAACCAAAGAACACTACTTGGAGAAGGCGAAGTGCATCATTGAACAGTATGGAAATTATACAGAATCTTCGACCGACTTAAAAGTATAATTCAAGATGAACTTAGTTGTTATTTCTGTTTTTTTGCAAAATATTTCTTTTAATTTCGTGGCATAAGGTGAACGGGATACTCACCCAAGGTGAGAATATCGCTGACAATGGAGGCATCAAGGAAGCATATCTCGCTTATCAAAAGTGGATAGAAAAAAATGGTCCTGAACGAAAATTACCCGGTTTAAAATATACTCCGCAGCAAATGTTCTGGATTTCAGCAGCCCAAAATTGGTGTGCAGTAAATCGTCCAGGTAAAATATTTCAAATAAACTACACCACAAACATAAGAGTTCTAATAACGCTCTTCATTTTCTTAGAAATGATGAACTTACAAATAACAACGGATCCACATGCTCCAGAACGATTCCGTGTGCTCGGACCATTCAGTAATCGGCCAGAATTTGCCAGAGATTTTAATTGTCCAGTAGGTTCGCCAATGAACCCAACTAAGAAGTGCGAAGTTTGGTAATCAACTGTGTTGATAAAAAACGTAGAACAATCAATTATTCAATGAATATTTTCGAGAAAAAGAAGCAAAATTTCTAAAATGTGTTTTCTTCTCAAACGAATTTCCAACAAAATGTATTTCACATCCATTTCCTCGATGATCCCATTCAATTGTTGTTATTAATTTGTTCAAGAATCGTCATGCTGAACTTTAATGCTCATTCTTTATTGAAGAGATAAACTCACCTATTTTCTTAAGTATAAATACTCTTCTAGTAATTTCGTAAATGAAATGTTTAGTTTTGCGAAGTGCCCTATTTCAATCCAAGCAATTTTCTTCTTGTTTCATTTGTTGTCTGGAAGGAAATGATTGAGGATTAGGTTTTGATTAAAGGCTAAACATTTTTCGTCTAAATTGTTTTACTCATGTAGTCATAAAGTCCGATATTGGATTTGGACGACAAAGTGCATTTAAATGGATGAAAAAAGTCATTTTATCTTTATGCAAACATGATGTCAACCCTCGTCTGGTGCCCAGTCAAAATTGCTTCTGAATGTTCCGCCATGTATTTGTATTTTGAATGTAACACTTTTTTCCTAATATAAAAAAAGCGAACTAAAAGGGTCACTTTGTTGGTTCGGTAATTCAATTTTAAGCGATTTAAGCAGCGGTGAAACAGCCAATTGGATATTTAATTATTTCTCTTACAAAATTGGTCCTGTCGATGGTATTGCGATAATTTATGTGATGTCACTGCCCGTATTTGGAAAATCTGCAATGAATGCAATCAAGGTTGATTTTAAAAAAATCACAACGAAAATGCCTATTACCGATTCTATTTAGAAAAGAATCGGTGTTCGCGCAGCATGATCTCCGATTCAAGCGTGGGGTTGACACGTATCTTTTGTTGACTCTAGTCGGAAAAAAGTACGCATAAATTTGATTTTTAAATTCAATCCACACCAATATACGGCATCGACGAATGAATTTCGTTTCGTTCCGGTCGATGTGGATTTTTATTGCCAACGATTTTTATGCAAAATTAAAGTCGATCTATCGGTTCGCAACACACCGAATGAAGAAGAATAGAGCGCGAAGAAGCCCAAGAAAAAAGAAACTATGGAATGACACCCCATTTGTGCGCTGCATAATATATTTTAATGAGTATAATTTCCAAAATATCAGCAAAATCAGTAAAAGGGAAAGTCAGATTAAAAATGCACTACGACTACGCGTTGTGCTGCATGCTCGTGAGTGAGGGGTGAGTGTGAGCACTCTGCACTTTGCAACGCATACCGCTTCGAATGGGCAAGACGAATAGAAATAATAAAGAGACGACGAATAACAAATCCGTGTATTATTGCGTTACTCTTGTGTGCGTCGGGAAGTTTCTTTTTTTTTGTATTTTAATTCGGTACCATGTTCAAACAATAAATAACATTTTAAAAGTAAGTAGCGAGACAAACCAAACTGTTCGGAACTGCGTTTAATTTGTTCGTATGCAGTGCACTATGATTTGCTACGTTACATGCTGCTCGGCCAAATAGTTTTGCGGCGTACACAGTTTTGCCGGTTTTAAAAGGGGTGCATCGATTTGTATGTGAAAGTGTGCAAGTGTGAGTGTGAGTATATCTCTGGGTCGTGGTTTGTCGTGTGCCTGCGTTTTGTTCGAACAAATGCAACATAAGCATTCATTCATTCATTCGTCGCCTGTTCGAAATACACAATGCACATCTTTTACGCTCGGTTTTCGGGCTATTTTCTATCAATGTGTCTTTTGCGGCAAAACCGTTCATTCAAGCAATTTTTCCACTTTTACACGCCTCTTTTACGTTCACTTAATTTTTGTCAATTTCAAAATTATAAATTTTTAATGAATGTTCGCTGCATTCAAAAAAGAACAAATCATAAAATGAACAGCCAACCAGCAACACCCTCACTATTGATTGAACACTGAACTATGACTTGGGCGACTCAGTATTTGCGCTGCATCATCGAGCACAAATGAGCAAATATCAAAAAAGTAAATAACCATTTAAATTGCAACACCGACCATTTCGAATGCGTGTGACAAATGAATTTCGTACTCATGCACTCGCTCAATAATTCGCTTTGACAGCTGTACAAATTATGATTACATTTGCCTTTGCCATTGCTTTGGTTGTTCAATAGAGAATGCAATGTCGTGGTTATGTTTGCCAATGCACAATGGGCCAAACGATGTTATATCAAAATTGTGCTCGGCAGAGGGTTTTATTTGCAATTTCGAATCAAACGTAGCTGACAAATAAAACAGGTTGCAGCAAATAAACCATTGAAATTACCCCGAAAAAGAACGCCACACAAAGCAACGCAACAGAATCAAATGAAAAACCAAAAATCATTAATCAAATGTCGTCATCACACCAATGCCTGCCGTTCAATAGACTATTTTTGTCTCTATGGCTTCATATACATCTGACGCATTGACGACATAGAAATTCGAATCATTCTTTTTTGAAGTGCACTGGCAATTTTTCAAATGTTTCGAATGAGTGAATCTTTTGAATAATCGACAACCATACATTTTGAACAACGTTTTTGTTGATTTGGATCCATGAAAGTAAAGTTATTATCATTAAAGATAAAAATAACAAGATTCAGATAAAATTGCCTTTAAACATGAGATACAACAATCGGAAAAGCTGAAACGGAGAAGTAATCTTGATTTTACTTGTCTTTAGCTTTAGCTAGACACGAATTGATTTTAAATCAAATGTGGATGCCGCTAGATAGCCGATTTTGCCCACAATTTCATCTTATCGTAGCAGATGAAGTGGATCATAGTTTGGTGTATCAGTAGGAATTGAAGGAGTATACAGAAAGTTTGAGTCAAAAAAAAGACTAGATTGATATAGGCCACACCTAGGGCCACACATTCAATGGAGGTAGATTTATGACTTTGGAAGAGAACGATTACATGATTTCGACAATCAAAAAGTCTATTTAGATATAGAGCTGACGTTTAGAAGTAAACACTTCAGATATTTTTCAAGTTGGTCACGTCTGACTTTGGTTTTGCGACAACCACTTATATTGCTGTACAACCAGGATCGCTTTCTTCGTATACAAATACATGGGAAAGATTTGACGTAAGACGCCAAGACGCCTCTACGCGTGGATGCCCGAAGCATCGTACACATATTGAACACGAATATTTTCGTTTACAAAATCGCACTCACACAAATGAACGCATGTATAATGACTGTTTTAAGTGTCCGTCGCTTAGAGGGCTGCGTGTCGTTTTTCTTCGTTTACTAAGCGATCTTGGTACATCGATATCACATATATGTTATTATTATTATTCAGAAAATGAATGAATATGCGTGCATTTTTGCCTAAATCCACATCTTTCACTGTGTGTAGATTTCTTTCTTCGAAATTCTAAATTGGGCTTGTTTTTAATACGACAATAATAAAGAGAAACAGTTCAATATAATAACATAACTTGTCTGCATGTTTGTCGATTTCTCAAATTACCTTATGAACAGCAATTCACCCTTATGAGGCAACGATTATAAAATCCATGTTAATGGCTGTCGACTGTCGTGTAATAATGTATGGCATTTAACAAACAAGAAAATACTTTGTTAATTGTTTCCTAATAAATGATTTGTGCATACCAAATCTAATGAATGGCACTATGTACTCGGCCTTTAATATACTGAATACTTGGTGTGTAACTACACAGCATTCATACATGAGATTCCGGTAGCTGATTAGGGTTCAGCGAGGAGAAGTTATAAAATCAGCGCATCTTTAAAAAGATCTTCCGATTGGATGGCATTGTGGAAAAGCATTTCTGAACACGTGCATATATTAACCGGGGCTTTTCGCATTGAATGCACAATCGTTTGGACGTAGAATAGAGTCGAAACAGGTGTTCAAAGCATAATAAAGTTCTCATCACAAAAGTAGGTTTCAGCTATATAATATTAGAGCGAATGAAAGGACTTACTTTTGAAAATAAACAGCTGCTTGATATTGCATAGCGATAAAATGAACGGTTAACAAAACAACCTTTTGAAATGTATCGCTTGCCTGATTCCATACAATTTAATTTTTTTTTCGCCTGCTTTGAATGGACCATATTTTATATATATTGTTTGCCGTCACTGAGGTAGCATCAGATTAAATTAACTCAAGCGTTAGTTAATAAAATCGTACGCAAATTACTGCAGAAATTAACCAGACTCTTCCATCTAATTCGTTTGCACTCACACGCAAATTCCGACTATCTGTTATGCTTGTTCAATCATTATGCTAATTGATGAAATTTCTCGAGGATGAGTGGTCTCTGAATAATACGGTACATCCGATAGGGAATGTTATTTTAGGTGCAAATGGAGAACATTTTTCAAGGTTATTGTGTGTTATTTGAGGTTTATGAAGGCTCTTTGCCCCGATTTTGTGGCGAAGATCGTATTTTCCCGAATAGAACCACATCGCTCATTCCTCGACTTGTGTTACAAAACAGAAACTAATTTTGTTTTAAGGTTCAAATGATCTAAAATTCTCTTTTTTAAATTCTCAGTTTTCAAACCAATGCCACGCCACGCCATTCCTATCTCATTATACTCATAAGTTGACGCATTTAACGTCACGTTTTCCCTTTCGACAATAACCGATTTCACTCACTACGTATCCGCTCATGCCATCATTATCCAACATAGAGTCTACGCTGTAACTTTCTGCTCGTGTAATAATAATCAAAACAAAATTCGACGTGCATAAAATGTCCAAACGACGGATAAATCAAAACAATGTCGAAATTCGAAATGGAAAATCGTACACAGCACAATAGAATGTAATCAAGGCTTTTGAAATGGGTGTCAATTTACATTGGATTTGTTTCAATTGCACCGATAATTTACATATTCCATATGCGAACGGAAGTCAATGCAAACGAGACTACCATCTCGGTGGTTGTACGTGATTTCGATAGCTATAATCCTAATAAACTATGCACCGTACACATTATTTTTACTTTTGTTCGTAACATCAAACTGTTTTGCATCTCGACGCCTGATGGCAACTGAAACA